AGGAGGCTGAGATCTGAGGATCGCGGTTCAAAGCCAGCCCAGGCAGGACAGACTGTGAGACTCCTATCTCCAATAAACCACCAGAAAACCAGAAGTGGCACTGTAGCTCAAGTGGTAGAGCACTCGCCTTGAGCTGAAGAGCTGAAGGACAGCGCCCAGGCCCAGAGTTCAAGCCCCACAACCGACAAAAAAAAAAAATATTGCATAGCAACATGTATTTCTATTCATATGTATATATTGCAAGCTGGAGGTAATGAAGGTCATATGTCCTTTAAAAACTCAACTGCAAATATACAGCTGGCCAGTAGTCACAGGAAGCTAAATTAGAGAAAATACTGTGATCTTAGACTTACCACAATTTCATTATGTGTCACAATCCAAAATCTAAGGGATAATGTTGTCCCTTAAAAAGTTGAAATAGCTTAGAATTTTATTCTTTTGTTGTTGTTGTTGGTCTTGGAGCCTGAACTCTGGATTGTCCCTCAGCTCTTCAGCACAAGGCTAGCGCTCTACCACTTGAGCCACACTACCATTTCTGGCTTTATCTGCTTATGTGGTGCTGAGGAATTGAACCCAGGGCCTCATGCATGCAAGGTAAGCATTCTACCACTAAGCCACCTTCCCAGACCCAGGATTTTATTCTTATCTTTTACTAGGCTGTTTCTAGCTGGAATGGAGCAATGGTAGCTAGGGCACTAGGTAGTATTTCTGTTATTAGCGGGGATGATGGTAAAGTAAGGTAGCAGAAGCTACCCATGTATGGAACCTTAAGACACTGAAGTATCTTTGAATGGTACTTCCTTTCCCTAGTTCCTAAACTCAAACACAGAAATATATCTTACACAGTTCCAGTCTTGAGGCTTGACCTCAGGGCCTGGACACTGTCCCTGAGCTCCTTTTGCTCAAGGCTAGCACTTAAGCCACAGAACCACTTTTGGCTTTTCTGTTTATGTGGTACTGAAGAATCGAACCCAGGGCTTCATGCATGCTAGGCAAGCACTCGAAAAAGTTAACATTTTATTATATAACAAGAGTTAAAAGTTTTCAATTTTTTACATCATCAAAACCAAAAGACATTCTGAACACAATACATTGTAGTTTTCAGAACTCTGACTGAGAACAAATGGTTAAATGTGCTGCTTACAGAATCCAATCATTCTGTCTTCAGTGCAGCTAAACAAAATGTGAGTTGTAGAACCTGGAACTGCTGCCCTGATGGTAAGTGAAGCAGATGAAAGAAGAAAGGATATCACAACCAGGATGCTCAAAGTCGGGTTGGATCCAAATATGGTCCAGTTCCAATCAGTCGGACAAGTCACTCTGATCCAACACGATTATCCTATATGCGTGTGTTTTAAAGGACAAAAAAAAGAATTTTGAGTTGAAAGGTACTCTTAAAACTTTTTTTTTGAAGTAGTACTAAAGATTGAACCCAGGACCTCATGCATGCTAGGCCACTCTTACCACTGATCATCTACATTTCTACACCCAAGAGTATTTTTGAAAAGACACAAACATCCTCTATATTTCAACCAAATTCAAGGGAAAGGGATTTTGGTCTTTATAATCCAGGGAGATTATGAACAACAGTGTTATCATGGAAATGAAGATGGCTGTAAAGCCACTCACAGCAGCATCTTCCATATGGAAACTATTCTTGTGCTGACTCTACCACTTCTCAAAGTTGGCATTAATTTCACTTCTCTTATTAACTAATAAAATTTAACTGAAGTGTAATAGACTCTATGGAGTGTGCAAATACAATAATCCTTTCCTTTTTTGTTAGTCATGGGGCTTGAACTCTGGGCCTGAACTCAGCTCAAGGCGAGTACTCTACCATTTGAGCCACAGTGCCACCAGTATAATTCTTTTTTAAAAAACTAAGTCAAAGCCCAACAAGCTAAGTAACAGGAAATGGGTACGTGGAAGAGGGGAGGATGGGGTCAAAGGTAGAGTTGTAGAAGAAGAATGAAGGCGGGGAGGGGAGGAGAATGCAGGCAAGAATTCACTGTATATATCACAGAACTGAGAAATATAAAGGAAGGGGTGGGTCAAAGGGGAGGTGAAGATGCTGAAGTGGTGACACAGATCAAGATATATTGTACAGAAAGTGGTGCTGTGGCTCAAGCAGTAGAGCGCTCGTGTTGAGCTGAAGAGCCCAGGGACAGCACCCAAGCCCAGAGTTCAAGCCCCATGACTGACAAAAAAAAAAGATACATTGTATACATAAACTGTTTTGCTAAATTGCAAAAAAAAATCAATACATAACCTAAAATTAAGATAAGCAAGGGACTGGGAAGGTGGCTCAGTGGTAGAGCGCTTGCCTTGTATGTATGAGGCCCTGGGTTTGATTCCTCAGCACCACATAAGCAGAAAAAGCCGGGAGTGGTGCCGTAGCTCAAGTGAAAGAGCACTAGCCTTGAGCTGAAGAGCTGAGAGACAGTGCCCAGGCAGAGTTCAAGCCCCATGACCGACAAATAAAAAAAAAAGATAAGGAAGGGTAGGGAGGGTTGGGTGAGAACGTTGAAAGCGGTGACATTGATCAAGATGCATTGTATTTATAAACTGCTTTAGTGAATTGCAACTCCACTGTACAGCTACTTAAAGATAATAAAAAATATTACATATATAAAACTATATACATTGAGCAACATGGTCTGAATTCAAGTCTTTATCATTAATGTTTAATTACAGACTAGTAAATGTTTTAATGTTATCTAGAAACAGTAAACTCTGATCTATTAACATGGTATCTTATTACCTGGATGGTTCAGACCAACCTAGTCGCTTCCAAAAACAGGGTTTTAGTTCATCTTGATGGATGTATGAGAGAGAGAAAAAAAACTGATTATTTTCTAGGTCAACGAGTATCAGAATTCAGAATTCACATTAGTGTTCTCTTTAATTTAGTGTACTGTTCTAAAGAGAGAGAATTTTTCTAAAATCAGTTGATGGCTTCCTCTCCTACCATTCTATAACTCTTTGCCATAGCAAGGACATTAGTAACATTAATTCACCAAGACCCTGAACTATCAGTGAATTCATTCCTAGCTAAATGTCCATACACTTGGGGCCCTATGCCAGTTTGTCCTGGAAGAAACAAAATGTAATTGTGGCTAGTATGAAGGTTCAGTTACAATCAAGGGAGAAAACAGGAAATGGCAAAGCCTCCAGGGACTAGTAGCAGTTGGGAGCCTGTCTGAAGGGACTGAAGGCAGAGAACTCTCAGAGAGAGAAGAGACAGCAGGAACCAGAAAGGATAGCCTCCAAAAAGTTGCACTGTGGAGGGATATTACTTAAACAGGAATAGAGGGAAAGTAATACCCTAACTATTCCCCTGCTCTCTGGTCTCCTGCCAGAGCCTCTCATTGGGCAACAGATTGTCAGGGAAAATGAACCCCATTAGGGTCAGCATCCTGTGCCAGAGGAAGGAGATGAGTAGTAATGGAGAAAGGATGAAAGGGATATTAGACTGAAAAGAACTAGTGTCTCTTAACTTTCTAAGTAGAAGGAAGTTATATATAGGATGGTATTATATGTAAACAGTATATCTAAATAGTTCTATCAAAATAGTTTTGAAATTGAGGTTAATTTGTAATTTTCTCATTATTGGTAAACTTCCTTTAAATTCAGTAATACATAATTTCTTATTGGATTTGCAGCATCTGAGTGAGGCTAAGATATTAGACAATTAGAAGTAAAACATCACTCCAGAAACGTACAACCTAATGATGATAAAACTGGCTGATGGCTTGGGTTTTTGGGTTTTTTTTTTTTTTTGGTCGGTCATGGGGCTTGAACTCTGGGCCTAAGCGCTGTCCCTCAGCTCTTCAGCTCAAGGCTAGCGCTCTACCACTTGAGGTGCAGCACCATTTCTGGTTTTCTGGTGATTTACTAGAGATAAAGAAATTCACAGCTTTCCCTGCCCAGGTGTCTTTGAACCGTGGTTCTCAGATCTCAGTCTCCTGAGTAGCTAGGATTACAGGTGTAAGCCACCGGCACCTGGCTTGGCTTGTTTTGTTTTTGTCAGTCGTGGAGCTTGAAACTCTGAGCCTCGGTGCTGTCCCTCAGCTCTTCAGCTCAAGGCTAGTGCGCTACCACTTGAGCACAGCACTACTTCTGGTTTTCTGGTGGTTTACTGGAGCTAAGAGTCTCATGGACTTTCCTGCCCTGGCTAGCTTTGAACTGCAATCCTCAGATCCCAGCCTCCTGAGTAGCTAGGATTACAGGTATAAGCCCCTAGCACCCGGCTTGATGGCTTATTTTAAAAATAAAATTGGACATTATTACTGTTTTGTGATAAAGCTATGACTGGCTAGAAAACCTGGGCAAGGAAAAAGAAGAAGAAATGTTCATTCATACCTTCTTCAGAAGTCCCTAAAAAGCTCTCTGATTTCCTTCTTTCAGGATTGATGTTCTCTTTCCATCTTCTCTTGCTTTCACCAACTTCTTGATCCTTTTTTTTTGTCTCCCTTTAATAACAATGATTTGAGGTATTAACACTTTATGTGTAACATCCAAGAGACCAGGATTTAACTCTAAAGAAAATCTATAATAGGGGCTGGGAAAGTGGTTCAGTGGTAGAG